TCTCTCTGTCGGTCTCTCCCTCCCTCTCGCTCTCACTCCCTGTCTCTCTCTATCCTCTCTCTGCCATTGTCTCTCCCTCTCTGCACCTCTGGTCTCTCTCCCTCTTTTCTGACTGCTGCTGGCCCTCACCCCCTGCCCCCCGCCAGCTTCCTTGCCTTCCCTCCATCTCTCCCCCTCTTTGCCTCTCTGTCTCTGTCTCTCTCTCTCTGACATACACACACACACACACACACACACACACACTCTTCCCAGAGGCACGAAATCCTCCTCTCAGGCTGGGGAAGCCCCCGAAACCCCAGGGCCTCACCTGTGACCCAGAAGGAGGCCCGGGCTGGGCAGGGCCCGTGAGTCACAGGGAGGCAGCAGCCAACATTCCTGCTGCCGTGACGTGACGGTGACGTCTTCCCGATTTCCCGGATGCTGTCCTGACTCCTGCCTGCCCCTCCCGCAGCTCATCACAGGAAGCATCCAGGTGTGTGTCACTTGCAGGAAAGACATCGAGAGGGGGGGGGGGCCAAAACCAACACAAAGAAATAGACAAATATGGAGAAAAGCGGAGCAGTCAAGAGACAAATGCAGGGAGACAGGAGCAGGAGAGAAAGCAACAGAGAGAAAGAGGGGCAGAACAAGAGAAAACAAGACAGAAGATGTCAGGAGACCAGAGCGGTGCAAAGGGGGGGTGGGGTGGGGAGCTTGTGGGTCAGATCCACCCGGCCACCCCCGCCCAGGAAGTGGCCTGTGCGCCACAGGGCTCCATGGGACCCCGCCCAGAGCCTGGGTTTTCTTCCCACTGGGAGATGCCTCCCACTCCCTAGACCCACTTCTCAGGTGGAGCGAGAGGCTGAGAGGCCGAGCGGGGTCTCAACCCCGCCTGGACCCCCGGCTCTCCCCACCCGCGCCCTCCAAGGTCTCGTTCAGGCTTCATGCAAGCCAAGAGGAGCTCTGCTTTCCAGACCGGGAAACTGAGGCTCCGGGACAGGCGGTGTTGGGCCCAGCGGCCCCCGCAGCTGCTGACCTCAGGCTCCTCCGCCAATAACAAGCTGGGGGTGGGGAGGGGGTTGCGGCACTGGGGACCACCGCAGCCCACGTCCAGGTGCCTGGGCCCAGCCCAGCGTCCTGCTAGTGCACACCCTGGGAGGCGCAGGTGATGACTTATGGGTTCGGGCCCCTGCCCCCCACGCACCCGAGAGACCCACATGGAGTTCCCAGCCCAGCTGTGGCTGTTGTGACCATTTGGGGTTGAACCAGTGGATGGAAGATCGATTCTCTCTCTCTCTCTCTCTCTCTCTCATTTGCTCTGCCTTTCAAATAAAATAAAAACAACAAAAAAAATGAAAACAAAAAAATTTAAAACAAAAAAATGTAAAAGACAGCAGCAGCAGCAATTTGTATTGAGCACTTTCTACGCACCAGGCTCTTTGGTGAGCACCTCAGGGGCATACTTCAACAATATGAATTAATGAAAATAATATTAATATGAACGAATGAATTTGAGAGACAGAGCGGACACAAAGGGAGCACTGGTATCCGCTAGCCCGCTCTCCAAACACCTGCAACGGCCAGGAATGAATCAGAGCGGAGCCGGGAGCCAGGATAATCCAGGTCTTCCAGGTGGGTGGCAGGGGCCCAATTACTCGAGCCGGCACCTCCCAGGGTCTGCATTAGCAGGGACCAGGCTATCTTAGCAGGTGTTTAACCTCCAGGCTGAACACACACCCCAGGTGCACACACTGGCGCAGGGGTGAGGGGTGAGGGGTGGGGACGGGGACGCTTGCTGTCTCTGCATTCCAGGTAAGCAGCCTGGGGCACAGGGAGGTTAAGGCACCTGCCAGAGGCCACACAGCCAGTGAGTAGCTGGCGTCTGAGCCTCACAGAGGGGGGTCAGTCCCCACACTCTTAACCACTGGGTTACACTTAGGAAAGAGAATTTCGTTGCGATGTTTCTTACTTTATTTTAGTGTTATTAGTTAAGGTTTCAACACATTCGTAAGAATCACAACAGTGTGATCACTGTGACAGAGACAGAGGTAGCTCCTACTTGCTCATCCCTACCCCCCCCCACAACTCTGTCCAGCCACACTGACCGCTGCTGCGCCCAGATCTTATCAGGCATTCTCCCACCTCAGGGCCTTTGCACTGGCCATGGAAATGTTCCCGTGTCTGCCCCACCTCTTCCCTCACCGCTCAGAGAAGCCTCTGGGCCACCCCCTCCACACCTCCACCCTGCGCTGAAACAGCCCACCGCTCTCCTGCACCCTTGGACTTCCGCCCTCATTCTGCTGTGTTTCCTGCATAGACCTGGAAAAAAACACACATCCCCCACCACCACCACTGTCAGCGCCACTAGGGAGGGGACGCGCGGCCTCACTTCCGGCTGCGTCCCAGCTCCCTGGCCGGCGTCCAGTCCAGAGTAGGGGAATGTTGAAGGAGCCGTTTGGGCGCTGCGCTGCGGCCAGCGGCTGCGCCAGGCGTGTCACCGGCTCTGAGCCGCTCCGGCCGCCAGCGGCACCCCAGGACGGGCCACGTCTTCGTCTCCTGCGCTTCCTTTTACTGTTTTTCACTTCACACCCTTGCAAACGCCCAGAAAAGGAGAAGGAACAGCACAGGAAGCGCCCCCGCATCTAGTTTCTAGGAACGCGAACACGTGGCGATCTGGCTCTTGTCCCCTCAAAGGTATTTTGAAATAAATACAGGCGCCAAGAACGTTCACCTCGAAATACTCTGATAAGGGTCAGTACAATTCCCGCCTGACCACAAAGCCGCGTTCATCACCAGCGCCCGCTCCTTGGCCGAAGCGCATTTCGGGTAAACTGCAGACATTATGTCATTCGCACCCCAGTATTTCAGCAGCGTGCCACCATGCCACCATGCCACCGTGCTAACAGCCTAAGGCTCCTGCCATGCGCCGCCTTCCGAGCTCGCAGGGGGAGCTCCAGCCGGGGCCGGCGGGGCCCCAGGTCCCCGGAGCGCCAGGCAGTGCGCGCGGCGCGGTGGCCAGGGCTAGTGAGTCAGGGGCGGCCGGCCGGGGAAGGGAAGTCTGGGAGGGGGAGAGGCCAGCGGGGGAGGAGGGGGAGGCGCCCACGCCTCCGAGGCTGACCGGCCGTTTCGCAAACGCCGGGGAGGAGTCCACCCCCCCTCCGCCCCGGGGCCACAAAACTCGCCTTCCCCGGACCAGACGAGAGGAGAGGCGCAGGGAGGCGCGGACGGGAGCCGCCCTCCGGACACCTCCGGACATGGGCCGCCCGCCGCCCGCGCTGCTGCTGCTGCTGTGGCTGCACACCTGCCTTCCAGGTAGGGGCTGGGCCCCCGGACGCCCGTGCGGGATTGGGGCCGAGTGCGGGGCTGGGCCCCGGACTGATGGGGGCTCGAGTTGGGGGAGGGGATCCCAGGCCCTGCGCCCCCAGACCAAAGGCTCCGCGGCCGCGCGCCTGGCCCGGGACGGCTGGCTGGGGAACGCGCGGGAGAGGGGACGGCTGCTCCAGGCCCTCCGCGAACGGGCTGGGCTTCACCCCGCTTCCCCGGGCGGAGGATACGGGAGCGGCGGGAGCCACCCAGGCGCCCTGACGGCGGGACTCCAGGCGCCGGGGCTCGTCCCTTGCGGACCCTCCCCTCCCCCTGAGCCCCTCGCTCAGGTCGCCGTCTCCCCCGGAGAACGTGGGGCACTGAGTCAGGGCGGGGCGGGGTGCGGGGTGCGGGGTGCGGCGGTGAGTAACCCGCCAGGCGGGAGCAGTCACCTCTCGGGGAGGGAAGGGACCTCTGAGGAGGCCTTGGGGGCGGGACCGTGGCGGCTGGGAGGGGCTACGGGGCGGGGCTAAATACTGGAGGCGGGGCTAGAGGGTGGGGCTGAGACCTGGGCTCGAACTGCGGAGACAGGCAGGGGCGGGGAGACAATGTCGGGGCGCAGCTAGAAGCTCGCGGCGACCTGGGGGCGGGGCTAGGAACCTGCGGTAAACCAAGGGGCGGGTCTAGAAGCGAGGAGCCGTGCAGGGGCGGGGCGTTAATATCGGGGCGGAGCTGGGGGCGGGAAGAGCGCCTCGCGGGGGATTGATTGGTTGGGATTAGACTCGGGCAGGCTGGTGGGCGGGGTTAGAACTTCGGTACGGACAGGTGGGCGGGCGGGCGCAAGGGACCCCCAGGGTCGTCCAGGGGCTCGTGGAGGATCCCTGGGGCGGGGTGAGGGGACCCACAGGGACGGGCATAGAGAGTCCCGATGGACACAGGCGCGCGGGCGGGACTTCCCAAGCGCGGGGAAGTTTGCGGGGAGCGGAGAGGGAAGGCGGAACTCGGCTAGGCTGAAGCTCAGCGCTGGGACCGCGCGGGCAGAACCGGGAGCGCAGAGCCAAGCGAGTGTCCGAGGCCTGCGCACCGGGTCTTGGCGTCGAGGCGTGAGGGGTGAGGGGGGCCCGTGGTGCGGAGCTGCGATGACCCCTCCTCTCCCGTCCCCTCCTCTCTCCGCAGCCTCCCAGGGCCTGCGGTGCGTGCGGTGCGAGCGCACCGGGGCCTGCGGCGTGGAGGAGTGCGTGCCGGGCCAGGCTCTCTGCCGGACCACGGCGCTGCACGTGTGGGAAGGTGAGTTCCGGGAGCACGGCCCACGGGGGCGCCCGCCTCCGAGACCGCTTCCACATCCAGCGAGCTGGGGCTGGGGGGGGGGGGCGCTGCAGACCCCCATGCCCGGCGTCCACAGTGATTTGACCCAGGTGAAGGCCAGCTCCTAGCGACCTTGGCCACGCGTGCCCAGGGACACGAGTGTAAGACTGCTCTGAGCAAATGTGTGACATGGAGATCGGAAACAGCCCGGTGTCAGCCACGGCGCCCCGGTGTAATCACGTAGGGATGGAAGGCTGCACTGTTTGTTCATCTGAGAGGCAGAGAGCTTCCGTCTGCTGGTTCACTCCCTAAAGACGCTAGGAGCCAGGAACTCAGCCAGGCCTCCCATGTCGGTGGCAGGGGCCTAATTAACTGAGCCATGGCCACTGCCGCCCAGGGTCTGTACAGACAGGAATCTGGAGTCGGGAGCCAGGGCCGGGTGGTTTTTCGCTTTTTTTTTTTTTTTTTTACATGTATTTGTCTTATTTTTAAAGATGTGTCTCTTAATTTGAAAGGTAGAGTTACAGAGAGGCACAGTCAGAGAGAGAGAGGTCTTCCATCCGCTGGTTCACTCCCCAGTTGGCCACAACGGCTGGAGCTGCGCCTCTCCAGAGCCAGGAGCCAGGAGCTTCTTCCAGGTCCCCTACACAGGTGCAGGGGCCCAAGGAGATGGCCCAGCTGCTTTCCCAGGCCACAGCAGAGAGCTGGATGGGAAGAGGAGCAGCCGGGACTCGAACCAGTGCCCATATGGGATGCCGGCACTGCAGGTGGCGGCTTTGCCACTACCACAGGGCCAGGTGCTGAGCCCAGGGATTATGGATGCAGGTGTCTTCCCTGCTGGCTGGGCTCTGTCTCTGGGCAGCAGTTCACGGAAGGAACTAGCGCTGGAGGTGCCAGTGTGGACACAGCTCAGAAACGCAACACCGAGGAGAAGCGGTGGGCTGCAGAGCATGACCCTCCCCTGCTGGGCGCAATAGAGGCTGTTGCCACCGGCACACCGTGTGAGAATCAGCTCCACCACTGGTTGCCTCTGGACAGGGCGTGAGGAGAGTGGGCTTTGGGAGGTGTGAATGAGTTTTAACTCTTTTAAATTCCAGTTTCAAAAAAAAAAAAAAGGCTGGCGCCGCGGCTCACTAGGCTAATCCTCCGGCTAGCGGCGCCGGCACACCGGGTTCTAGTCCCGGTCAGGGCGCCGGATTCTGTCCCGGTTGCTCCTCTTCCAGGCCAGCTCTCTGCTGTGGCCAGAGAGTGCAGTGGAGGATGGCCCAGGTGCTTGGGCCCTGCACCCCATGGGAGACCAGGAGAAGCACCTGGCTCCTGCCATCGGATCAGCGCGGTGCGCCGGCCGCGGCGGCCATTGGAGGGTGAACCAACGGCAAAGGAAGACCTTTCTCTCTGTCTCTCTCTCTCACTGTCCACTCTGCCTGTCAAAAAAATAAAAATAAAAAAAAATTAAAAATAAAAAAAGGCAAGACAAATATGGCAAAAAGCTGTTATTTTACAAAGCTGGGTGATTCTATCATTCTCATCCTGCTGGGCCAGCTGGAAGCATTTCCCTGTACTTTTTTTTTTTTTTAAGATTTTATTTATTTTGTTGAGAGGTAGAGTTACAGACAGAGAGGGAGAGACAGAGAGAGAGGTCTTCCATCCACTGGTTCACTCCCCAGATGGTCCCAACAGCTGGAGCTGGGCCGATCCAAAGCCAGGAGCCAGGAGCTTCTTCCGGGTCTGCCATGCGGGTGCAGGGGCCCAAGGAACTGGGCCATCTTCTACTGCTTTCCCAGGCCATAGCAGAGAGCTGGACAGGAAGTGGAGCAGCCGGGACGCTTACACGGGATGCTGACACAGCAGGCGATGGCTTCACACACTGTGCCACAGTGCTGGCCTTGGCCTTTCCGTTTACGAGTTCCTATTAGAGGCTACTCCCTCCTGACATCACCTGCTGGGGTACAGAGCAGGGGCCGATGGATCCAGAACGTTCCATGACGTGTCTTTACTGAGGAAGAGCAGGGTCACTCTAGAAAAGGTAGAATTGGACTCGGACGACGGGAGAGACCTGGCAAAGACTGGCCCTGGGAGGGGGTGGCCCCAGAGACCCCGGGGCGTCAGAGGCTGGGCGGGACCCGGCGGACCTGTGGCTAAGCGAGCTGCGTCTTCCCAGGAGGGGAGGAGCTGAAGGTGGTGGAGAGAGGCTGTGCCCACCCAGAGAAGACCAACAGGACCATGAGCTACCGAACCGGCCCACAGATCATCACGCTCACGGAGACCGTGTGTGCGTCAGACCTGTGCAACAAGCCCACACCTGGTGAGTGGCAGCCCGCGCCACCCCCGACCCCTCCCCGGGCCGCTGAGGAGCCTCTGTTAGCCAAGCTCAGCTGTCTCGTGGGGACAGGAGGTGGTCCCAGCCGTGATGCATGCACACACGAGGCTCCTAAGGGAAGTCGAGGCAGAGAGGCTGCGATGGGCCGGGGAGGGCCCCTGGAGAGGGGGTCTTTGAGAGACGGTGAAGAGGCTTCCATGAGGCCCAGTGCGGGCTTTGGAGTCTGCGCGGTTTGTGGAAAAGACTTAGAAAGGATCAGAGTTTCCGGAAATCCCACAGGAGATCAAGGGCAAGGGGGGCGGGAGGGGCCGGCTTGGACAGGAAGCCGGCTGAGGCCACCTGTCGCGTGACGTCAGCGAGCACAGCGCTGCGTCTGCCCTGGGCTTTCCTGATTCTGCCAGGCTCGCATCCATCTGAC